TACACATTTCTTCGACTCCATTAATGCCTGTCCTGCAAGAATATGGCCCTGAACAAGGTTGTCTACATGGAGAAAATCTTGTAAAGAATCTTGACCAAACAGGGCCTTCATAGCTCCCATCTGTACTGTGTTCTGAAAAAAAACAAACAAAAAACAAAAGTTACTAAATCTAAAATTATTTTCTTGTGGTAAATAACATATTTTATACTAGAGGGGAACATTACATTCAGCAAATTAAAAAAAAAAATCAAGTTTACTCCTTCCACATAAAGTTTCTAAATACATTCTTGTCAAAACGAATATTAAGAACTGTTATTTAACCATGTAAATGTGTATGCACTACATACATGTAATACCTCTCCTCCATTAACCTGTGTTTTGCAAACCTGTTGAGAGCAATCAGGGTTTTCCTTTTTTAAGGTCTTCCGTCTTAACGGAAGACCTTGTAGCGATTCTATTGTTTCTTATTATTATTATTATTATTATTTTTCTGAAGCGATTTCTCAAAGACTACTGGATGGAATTGCATGAAATTTTCAGGACAGATGTGTTGTTAAATTGATTTGATACATCTGAGAGATTTTTTGGAAATTCGCTTCCGGTGCCAAGTTATGGACCTTTTTCTGATTTTTAAAATGACATTTTGTCTACGGATTTTCTCAAGAACGGTAAAAGATATCAATGTGAAACTTTCAGAGATCATAGATGAAGATAAATTCTATCCAGGACGCGACATTTCGTTTGTCGTCATTACTTCCGGTCGCCACTGGAAGCCAATTTAAAAAGTCCAATTTTTCAACTTTTTTTGTTTTTCAATATTTTTCGTTTATTTTTGGTTTGTTAATAGAGACCTTTCTTATAATGCTTACTATATAATTTGTTTAAATATTGATAGATCTAAACTCTAGATATTAGCATTTAAAAATCTTAAGCATTCCAAAATGGCCGCTCTGTCTGTAAAGTCCAACATTTCGCAATAGGGGTTTAAGGAGGCATCTGAGCGTTTGCTTAAACGAAAGTAACACAAGGACAAATGAAATATAAACTAAAGGAGTACTTGGCACGTCGTAGTTACGTTGCAATTCTGTGTCAAACTAAGTTCTTCTTAAACGTCTTCTATGATTGATTTTGGTTGGTTCTTAAAGTAGAAAAAGAAAAGACTGAATGCGCAAATGAAATTCGATACCTAATATCTTCTGATTGCACCACGGAAAAGCAGATCTCAAATCATTGTTACAAGTAATATTTTTTTCAAAAAAGAATATCAATGAATACAGTAAGAAAAAAACTTACCCAATTTTTCCCCATGCACACTTGTGCCATATTAAACTAATAGAAAAGACAAAATAAAATAACCATATTTTTAGAAGATCGCTTAACAGCGTTTATATTAACATTATTGTCTCAAAGATCTTATTCAAGTTATTGAGCACAAACGGTATCCAATGCCTTGACCGTCGTAAGGTGAACCATTCTTTTCGGCGAAACATTTGAATCTCTTCATGAATCGGGATAGTTGACTTTGGCGATAAACATGAAATTTCAAAAAAAAAAGAAGTTAAAATTCATAGCCGCTTCATTGTTTTAGTGGTACTTGCCTAATGCTATATGGAGTTTGTGAAATGTATTAAATATACTTTCTAATCATAAAATTTTAGGCTATATGAACGTTTTTTTTATTTCATTGAAGCTATCACACCTATCAAATAGAACATTACCAAGAAAAGACGCGAAGATTTACTCATGGCGTTTGGCGTGAAATTATGAATAGTGATTTAGCCTTTCATAATTCTAAGACAAAAGCACTTTATACAGAGGTACTGTATATACAAGAAGATTCAGAGAAGAGGTCCCAATAGCGTACGTTATATTTAGCGCGTTGGATTTCATTCTGGCGACTTGGATTCAATCCCCCTCTGTGCAATATTTTCAGCTAGATTCTAGGGTTTTTTTTCCGAATCGGACGGAAGACCTCTCGTTGCTCGCAACGAGATCGTATCTAGTTCTTTCTTTTTTTTTTAGCAGAAAGGTGCCCAACTTCTAAATATGTAATTGTTATGCATGGAAAATGTACAAATTTTATTCTCACGCACCACTGTTCTTGGTATATGACGAAGTTCCCCCACCCCATATACCCCTGCCAGCCTGAGAGCACAGGTATGGAGAACTCCTGGATCATTGGCGGCCAATACCTTTTGTTCTGCTATACTTTTGGTTCTTGAATAATGGTCAGGATGCTACAGTGAAATAAAGAAAGTAATACAATAGTTTTCAAAAACAAAGTTAAATTTATTTGGATTCCACAGGGATTTCCTATTAGTGGTATCTTTAAAACATGGGGACTTAAGGCTTGAATTAGTACAGTATATGACATGGATGATAGTCAAGCTTGTACCAGGTACATCTCTGATTTTGCCTATATTAAAAATCGGGGTTCTCCATTAACTTTAATTCTGCTGTGGAAAACAAGCATGAAATACCCTTTTACTCATGACATTAATGACATTTAACTGTGATACTTGTAAAAAATCTAAAAAGTTTCAAGGAGAACCCTGAATATTGTATGCAAAAGTGTACTTAAAAAGCATGTAGGCTTCAAATAAAAGTGGCTCTGACGCAGACAATAATACATTAATTCATAACACCCAGTGATTGTGCTCAATTTTGAATATATCAATATCAATTTACATACAAGTACAGTATACAGTATCTCACATCATACTGTAAAATCACATATTTTTGTTGGGTCAAATTTTCGTGGTTTGAGTAAAAACTATTGGTTTGTGGGGATTTGAAACCATGGATGAAGAATTGTTGAGTAGTTATATATGTAACATTTACATTTCGTGGTGTACATGAATTTTCGTGGTAAATTAAACCCCCATGAAAATTTGTGATTTCACAGTAATAATAAAAAACCCTACTTTGTTAAGAGGTAGGTAAGGGAGGGATTCATCCCCATCGCAAATTTCCTGGCCCCCAAAGATGACATTGTATGTGCTGGTGTAGACAAGTCTCTTTATCTTGTGCTTCAGGCATGCTGAAATAAAATTGATTAACTGTGAGGTCAGTGAACTATTTTCAAGCTTTTTCAGAGAAAAATGGACAGTCTTAATTAGTAAGCCTTTCAAACTGGGAACTGAAAAAACAATTTCAGACCTTTTTATGCATCACACAGACATTCAGTACAAAAAAAATAAAAAATGCATCCTATGGAATCAAATCTTAAATCATCTTAAAATGTTACCTTTGATAACATTTTCTGTTCCTCCTACATTTACAGCTTCTATTACTTTGGTATTCAACTGAAAAAAAAATTTCCAAACATAATATTTCATAATATTCCATTTGATTATACAGTGGACCTTCAGATATCCGGACGCCAGATATCCGGATGCTTCAGTATCCGGACGATTTTTCATTGGAACGAAATTTTTAAATGCTATTTTGTCTTGTTTAACTGGTGATTCAGATATCCAGATGCTTCACATATCCGGACAAATGGACTGGGAACCAAAGCGTCCGGATAATTGAGGGTCCACTGTATTTTCTTTTTTCGTTGTGAGGCTAACACGATCTTCATACTTGTTTACCCACAAAGTATATTTGTACATTTATAATACTTTATGAATGAATTTATTTATTAAGATATTTAAGTCAGAGGTAACAGATAAAATACCTTACTTGTTCCCTCCCAGACATTCCATAGGAGGCCATGTGGTACACACAATCTGCTCCTTTTAATGCTTTGTCCACTTCATGCCCTTGAGCTATATTGCACTGTTAATGTTAATTATAACTTAATGAAAAACTTTGAGAACCAAGTTTTATTAATATTATATTTGAAAAATTGTTTCCAAAATGCTACTTTGAATAAGCTAGGAATTCATGCCTTGATTTTGGTAATTAAATCTTGATATTTTTTTCAATGAAATTCAAGGAGACTAAAAAATTTTCGTCTGGCATCTCTACAAATTTTTTTTAGTCAATTGGAATCTTGCTGAAGTTAGATTATCTTGAAGATAAATGTTCTAAGATTTTAATTACAGCTCTGGCACCAGGATCCTGAAACAAACTTGGACTTAAGTCAAATTTTCAAAAAGCTACAAAATCCTCATTTGTTCTTGAATTAATCTTTAAATTTGCAGATAAGAAAACTTTTGTGGAGCAATTTTGAAAATTTATTGATTTTTGTATGCTTGACTTCTACATGCTTTTAGTACAACATGAAAATTTTGACTTAATCTTAAGATGTTTCATATTATCTCTGGGCCAGATATCTGCAAATATTATATGAACTTAGGCAGTGTATGACGGACATCTACAGTAAAATTTCTATGTAACCTGAATAAATGACATGTTTTTCTCCAGTGGCCACCTTGGTTTGATGATGTCTACTAGGATAACTTTCTTTCCATTCTGGGCCAACTTTTTACCAAGGTTGAACCCCGGGTATCCTCCACCCCCTGTGACCAAATGCACCGAATCTGGTTCAGAAGTAGAACCTGACATCTCTAAAAAAAGATATTGAGAATTAAAGTTTAAAACAGGAAATCCAAATAAATCCAAAGATAGATTTCTAATATTCATTCTTATTTCATGTTCAGCAGAATTTTGAGAACAATACTTCTCAAAATTACTCAATATAATTTCTAAGGAAATAAAACAAAAAGATCCTACATATAAATACATAGAACAACACCCATGCCATTCGAATGAGTGCTGACATAACTCTAATTCAACGTATTCATGATATATACCTTCAAAGCTCAACTTCGAATATTGTGTAACAAAGCACCCGGCTGGGGTCAGAGGTCAACTGCCGAAAAAGTAAACATAACATTTTACGGCATACATTTAAATGTGTAAATTTCGTGTCTTTTGGATTTTTACATTTAATCTTCTACTAATAAAACTAAAATAATTTTCATTGCAAATATGTTTATTATAATTTGACTAAAAGTAAACCTTAGGAAGCATATATTACGACAGTCGTACGCTACTTTCCGCCATATTGTTCCATAGCAACACAGTAAATGGTGGACTTCTCTCAATTTTTGGTAAATATTGACAATTTACGCAATTTTACACATTGCTTGCTCCCAAATAATTGATACACAGAAGGCAGAAATATCGTAACTTGGATTTAATGAGTTTTAAATGCATGAAATTTCATCACTTGTTCTATTCTTCTAACAATAAGCAGTTAACCTCTAATTCAAGAATGATAACAACTCCGACTCTTTAAGTCTTTTAGTAGACTTCATCACTACAAAATCATTTACTGTTTTGATTATTATAGATTTTTAAAAAGTAGATTGTGTTCAAATCTTATTATAGTTGAGGAAGTGAAACACCATGTATGACAGAGCTCCTAGAGATCTGGTGAAGACATATGGATCCACTCCAGGAAATGTGGGACCAGGGTCATATGATGCTAGTGCCCTGGCCAGAGCTAAACTCAAGGCTGGTATGTGCAATGTTCCGCTGTCTTTTGAAGGTGGCTGAATTCTCTCAAAATAACATTTGAAGCTTTATTGTAATGACAATCTTTGTATTGTTGAATTTGTTTACCATACATTAAATTTATCTAAGTAAATGCATGATCTATTTTCCAGATGGATATGCCCCTTTCTTGTCTATGACAAGTCGAGAAACATTCCTAAATGTTAGTGATCAGGTTGTTGCAGCCCCTGGACCAGGTCATTATGATCCTCAAAATGCTCAAGATTTTGTTCCTGTAAGTATCATAATGTTGTTCAACAAATACTGAAATTTTAAGTCATACTTGTATACT